ATTGAGAGTAAGAAGCAGGAGGTGAGGGGCGCCTGGGTGGCGCAGTCGGTTAAGCGTCCGACTTCAGCCAGGTCACGATCTCGCGGTCCGGGAGTTCGAGCCCCGCGTCAGGCCCTGGGCTGATGGCTCGGAGCCTGGAGCCTGTTTCCGATTCTGTGTCTCCCTCTCTCTCTGCCCCTCCCCCGTTCATGCTCTGTCTCTCTCTGTCCCAAAAATAAATAAAAAACGTTGAAAAAAAAATTTTTTAAAAAAGAAGCAGGAGGTGAGTTCTAGCTACTCGCAGATGGCAACAGAAACCTATGGGGAACCAGGCTTTTACTGTTGGGGGAGAGACATTAAGAAAAGCAGCCAGGGATATAACTGGGTGATGTGATTTGAGGCAGAATCGAGGGGATCCTTGTTCCTCCAGTTCTCAATGCTCCAGACATCCAAAAGGACATCCCTTCAGAAGGGAAATAAGTGGGTGAAGAAGGAAGGGAGACAGTAATACCAAGACCTCTGCCCCTTCCTATTTCACATGAGGCTCTATCAGTTTACCTCTCCTGGGAACATGTTCACTTGAGAGAAGGAGGCCCTCGGGAAATGAGCAGGCTCCCAGGAAGTAGGAGTGGAAACTGGAGTGAGCGTGGGTATTCAGGACTATTCAGGAATTGCCCCTGGGCAGCTGGACCTAGAGGTGGCCAGAGGCCTCAGGGTGTCAAATACTTTTGTGGCATCTCTCCCTAGCACCTCCACTGAGGAGTTGGGCAATGGGCCTGCAGGCTGCAGCTCCCTCCTGTCTTCTGTCCCACCAGGATGCTGGGGTATGAAAAGAAGAAAATAGAGGCGGCCAATTAGCAGTTGGGAGCAGAGAAGGTGGAAGAAGCTTTAAGGAAGGAGGGGCCAGGAGAAGGTGGCTGGGTGGGTATAGATGTGTGTGGCTAGGACAAGTAGGGAGCTTCTGAGAGGCTTAACTGTCAGCTGCTGGGAAGTAATCCCCAGCCCTCACATCCTCCCCATGCTCCCACTTCAGGCAAAGCTGCCTGTTGGGTGAGGGCCATTGGAAGTCTCAGAGTCCTGGGAGAATGTGTTGTGGGGGGGGTTTGGGAAGGGGCCTCCCAGGTTATCAGGGCTTTCAGCAAAGCTTCCCTGGAGAAGAGGAGGGAGTGAAAGGGGTCCCTTGGGAGCCTGGGTTTCCTGGATCTGAGCCATGGGCTCTGTCTTGGCTATAGCCCCCAGCACAGCCATTTTGGTGTTTGCTTATTTTGGTTATTTTTTGATCAGATATTTTGGCGCTGTGCACACTGCCTCCTGTTACCATGGCAGCCGTGACAGGGGCTGAGGCACCGTGAGAAAAATACCAAAATTAATGAGTGAGCGAAAGTGCAGCCGAGAGAAAAACAAGGTTAAAAAAAGAGTTAAAACAGTAATGAAAACAGGCTTCCCAGCTCCACAGCAGAGCAGCTGCTGGAGCCTCCCCAGAGCGGCAGCCCCCACCCAGCCTCAGGCTCCTGGCATCTCCCAGACCTCAAGGCAGAACTCACTCGCCTTCCCCCACCCGGCCAGCCACAGGCGCAGCAACAGACACACAGAACCATCCCAAGTAAAACAGTAGATCAGCTCCAACAGCAGATCAGTCCCAGCTCAGGTTGCATGCTGCCTCCCAGAACAGCATCCTAGGGAACAGCTTCTCATCTCCTAGGCAACAGAGTCTGGGCTATGGCCCCCACACAACAGTGGTCCAGCTACATTACTAGGAAATGGCCTCCCAGCTACACTTGAGCTTCAGAGCTATGGCTGCAGGCATAACAGCATCCCAGCTAGAATCCCGCACACAGTAACAGCACAGCCACAAGCCTGGGCAACAGCATCTTAGCTATAGCCAATCCCTGGTATGCTGTCATCACAGCTATAGCTTCGGGACCAATAGCATCCCAGCTACAGTCCTATACACAACAGTAGCTCTGCTCTTATCCCAGGTAACAGACTTTCTCCCAGGTACAGGCTCCTAGCAACAGCCTCTCATCTCCTAGGACCTAGGCAATGGATCCAGCTACAGCTCTACCTACGTCATATTATCAGAGAACTGCTTCTTTGCTATAGCCATTCTCAGGTGTGCCAGCCTCACACCTATAGCTTCAGGCCCAATGGCATTTCAGTTACAGCTCTTCCCTCAAAATGCACACATGAACACACACACACACACACACACACACACACACACACACACACACACAGAGCTTGGCAACAGACTCGTAGGTACTCTGTGTTGTTCTGGCTATAGCCTATGTACACCAGCATCACAGCATTGCAACAGTATTTGAGCTGCAGTCAGAAACAGCAACTGGGATGCCTGGGTGGCTTAGTCGGCTAAGTGTTCAACTTTGGCTCAGGTCATGATTGCACCGGTTCGTGAGTTCAAGTCCTGCAATGGGCTCTCTGCTGTCAGAGCAGAGCCTGCTTCAGATCCTCTGTCTCCTTCTCTCTCTCTCTGCCCCTCCCCCCACAGCTTGCTCTCTCTCTCCCCCCTCAAAAATAAATAAACATTAAAAAACAAAAAAACAGCAACCTTTCTGTTATAGTGCCAGGACTTACAGCACCCTAGTCCTCTTGGCCACAGCCCATCCCAGGTACATTCATATCACAGCAAGAGCCTTAGGCGACAAGAATACCAACCACTTCCACGCCTAGCATCCCCCAGGCTCCAACCCCTGGCAAGGTCTCAAGTGGAATCTCAGGCACCATTAGTTTCAGGAGCCCCCCAGTGCTCTACTTGCTCTACTGCCAGGTCCCAGTTTGGTAGGAGGCCAGGAGCCTTGGCTTCTCTCCTCTTCAGATGCCACCTCCTAGTCCCTACTGTTTGCTGGCCTCCTTTCTAGGGGAGACAGTATCATCCCCATGTCTACACTGCCCCAGGCTCAGATTCCCCCACCCCCCAGAGCCCAGCCTGGCAGCTGGGGTAGGAGGGGATGGGGAGCAGGGAGAAGAGTAGGCACACCCTGTGTTGCTCTGGCCCAGTTCTGCTCCTACCACTTGGTGCAGGATTTGGGTTTGATGGTGGTGGAGCAGGGAGGATGGAGGAGAACATCTGGGAAATTAGCATTTCCTGCCCAGCTCCGCGGCTGCCTATCTTGTTCAGCCCTGAGCAAGGGATGAGAACAGAGGAGCCTTTGAATGGCTCCCAGCAAGCCAACTGGGGAGGGTTTGCTGCAGTGGGCAGTGGGCACATGCTGGGGGCAGGGAGCCTGGGGCAGCTCCTCTGTGGAAGATTTCTTCTCTCTGGGCCACTAATTCCTTCCTTGGAAATGTGCTCAATCATGAGGAGAGTGTGAGTTTGGCGGGGGCAGAGGTAGAGAAGCCTGTTACAGGACAGATCCTCCTTTCACTAGCTCATCCCATCCAGAGCCTCCCACGTGGGCTCCTGGGGTTGAGGGCTGGGAGTAGGCACTAGAAGAGGGCCCAGGTCAGAAAGGGAGGCTGAGTGAGGGAGGCTGCTCTGCACGAGATCTTTGGCAGTCCTTGGGTGCCCTCTTAGCTGGCCTGAGATCCCACCTTACCCAGAATAGTATTCCACAGAAACGTGGGGAGACAGAAGGGAGGGGGAGGTGGAGGAAGAAGAAAAAGGGAATAAAAGTGGTAGGGATGGGAAAATGGGGGACAGGAAGGGGACAGAGGCTATGGCAAATAGAGGCCAAACAACCAGTCATCCCATAATAGGCTTTTCCACACCCAGTGCCAGGCCTTGCCAGGGATAGTCTTCCTCATTCTTTTGACCTAGAACACCTGCCTAGGCTTATAAGTGGCAAAAGGCAGGACGTCATATTGAAGTGGAGCATTTTGGATCCTGGGATACCAAACCCTGAGCACAGGAAAGGGAGTTCCCAAGCTTCTCAGAGACCTCTAGATGGCGCCAGAGAGCCAGAGCTGAGAGGGAGAAACCAGAATAGGAGTGTGTAAGACACGGCGTGTGACACCGTGTGTGACTCGGTGAGTGTGAGTGTGACAGGGAGCGTGTGGCACTGCGAGGGCGTGTAACACAGGCCGTGACACTGAGCGGCCTTGTGGGGCAGAGACCCGTGTGAGTCTGTGAATGTGTGTATGTCACTGGTAAATATGTGGGGCCACAATTCCATCCCGCCCTGAGGGCAGGTGATAGGGGGACCCTCGAAGAGCCCAAGCTCCGGCGCTTCACCTCATTCTCACTCTTGTATATATCCCCCATCCTTATTCTAGAGGAGCCCCCGGGTCACATTACCCTCCCCCTCCTAAGGTCCCCTCCATAGCCCCACCCCCACGGCTTGCTGCGGCCTCAGAGGCTGACCGCTCTGCGGCTTCGGCCAGAGGGGGAGGGGTGGACTTCCCCGGAGCGCAATGGGAAGGGAGGGCCACGCGGGGTGATCTGGGGGTCTGGTCGGGAAGAAGGTGGATCTGGAGGAACGGATGCCCTCCAGGGAAGAAGGCACTGGGGGAGACATTTCCCCTGCCCCAACTTCCCAATTGGCAGGGTAGGGGACAGGTGTTTGAGTGAGGTTAGGAAGGGAATTCAGGAGGGGTCCCAGATGGGGGCTCTAGTGGGATAAGTGCAAGGTGAAGAGCCAGGGAGGGGTACTGCCTGTGTATCCGGGCCCGGGGGAGTGGGGAGATAGCGAAGGGGAGTCGTGGCTTTGGGGAGCAGTGCTCGGGGTCCCCTCCCGGAGGGACCAGAGCGGTCCCGAGCTCCACCTCCCGGCCGGGGGGGGGGGGGGTGAGGGCGGGGAGGCGGGCGGGAGGCGGGCGGGCGGGCTAGGAGGGAGGGGGAGGGAGGGGGCGGGCCGGGCTGTGCGCTCCGCTCGCTGCTGGCTCCGCCGCCGCCGCCGCCGCCGCCGCCGCCGCCGCCTCACACACTCGGGGAGCGGGAGCGCGGCGCGGACACGAAGCCGCCGGGGCTGCTGTGCCCAGAGCCAGCCGGAGCCGGAGCCTGAACCGCAGCGCCAGCCCGAGCCGTGCCGAGCCGCAGCCCGGGCCGGGGCCGGTGGCGGCTCATGGACAGCAGGGCCGGCGGCCGGCGGTGCCCCGAGGCGGGTAAGGATCCGGTGGCGGTGGAGGCAGCGGCGGCTCCCGGCCAGGAGCGGCCATAGCCGGCGGGAGCTGAGGGAGGGGCGCTCAGCGGAGCGAGGCCACGGGGGCCCAGGCTGTGCTCAGCGCGCTGGGGCTGAGCTGGGGGCGGCTGAGAGCTTGGGCTGGGGGTTACGGCCGGGGCACCCTGGCCTCCAAAGTCCGCGGCGAGGAGCGGAGCGAGGAGAGGGGGTGCTGAACCGGACCTTTGCCTCGGCGTCCCGCACCCCTGCGCGTTTGGACCCGCGGGGAATAAGGCGACTCTAGGAGCGCGCCGAACCGAGGTGGTTGGGGGAAGCGCGCAGCCCCCAGTTTGAGGGGGGGGGGCTCCCCGAGGACCAAGCAAGCAAGGACCCTAATACACAACGCACACACACACTTGTTGGGCGACCAGCTCGGATCACTTAGGTGCTTCAAGCTCCCCGCGGGCAACCAGAGGGCCAGACCACGGACATATGTACACGCATACATACATCCGTACATATATGCACACAGACATACCTCCCGCACACCAGCGCCCACTGGGGCACCGTCACTAGCACATAATCCGCTTCAGCGTCTGCACGCTCAGCAGCACGGACACACAACCCTTGGCCACAACAGAGCGACAGAACATAACCGGGTGTGACATTCGGCGACATGGACACACAAACACAATCCCGTGCCCTCATGTACGAGTGTCACAGCCACAGTTCGCCGAACGAACACTCAAAACCTAGCCTCTCACATACATATTCCTTTAAGGAACACACCCTACCATAAAATATGTTACGCACTCCTTGGCCAGAACATAGATAACACAACACAGGTCTCGCTTGCCCCCCTCAACTGCACCCACATAAACACACAAGCCTAGTGTCTCAGCACACGCCTTGACGGCACACACCCTAACACAGAAAGTAGAACCTACAGCGGCGCCTCACGGGCACAAACACTGAATCTACTGCTTCACACATCTTAACACTGGGTGTCACACACACCTTACACCAACAGTGTCACATTACACCTGCAGCCAATACACACAAATACACACTCAGTCCCTCTCCCTCCGAGGCCAGATTCCGTCCTGGGAAGCCGCTGGGCGGTCCGGCGAGCCCCCAGCGCCCCTTCATCTTAATCACGACATTGTTATTGTAAATATCAGCACAGCGGGAACCCTGGGGGCTGGCTGGACCGGCTTCCCTGCCTGCGTCTCCCCCACCCCCACTCCGCGGCCAGCCCTGGCCGGGTATTCCCGGAACAGGCTGGACTGGCAGGCCGCGCCACCCCGGCTCCCTTGGGCTTCAGGGCCCCAGGTCCCTTTGCAGAGGGTGCAAGCCTGCGGCGGTATTTGCGACCCTCCTCGGGCCTTTTAGCTGCGTTCTGCGAGCCACCTGGGTCCCCAGCACACCTGGGTCCCGCACACCTGTGTCCCTCTCACACCTGGACGCCCCCTCCGCCGGGTGCCGGCTACAGGCCAGTGTCGTGTGCGCGGGCAAGGCCCTGCGGCCCGAAGGGAGATCGCTGCACGCGCTGGAACAAAATTGGTAGGCGAGACGGACTCAGCTACCCTCGGGAGCCAGACTTCTGGCCTCAGTTTCCCCAGCAGTGATTGACGACTGTTTCTTCTAGCTGGAAGTATTCGGTGAGGCGTTGAGGTCTGTGAGGATTGAGTGCGGGGCAAAGACCCCTTTCTGCTAGCCTGGAGAGGGTCCTTTTCTGGAGAATGTCCCCACCCGGCTTGGCTCGCCACGCTTTGTGATTCCGGCGCCGGCTCGCTCCCCGCCCCCTCCCGGCGCCCGCTGCTCGGCTCCCGCCGGCGCCCGCTTGCAGGGGACCCTAGGCAGAGGGCCGAGACGCGGAGGAGGAGGGATTCCCCGCGGCGGCCGCTGGGGCCGGGGGCGCAAGGGGCCCGCTAGCCGAGGCACATTCTCACCGCTCCCCCCTCCCCCGCCTCGCCTTGAGCTCCCGGAGGCCCTGCGTCGCTGGGATGGGGGTGGGGCCGCCTGAGTCCGAGGATGGTGGAGGAACAGCCGTTCCCCACCACCACACGACTGCGTCCTCTGGGAGGAGATGCCCACGCTCTGGGTGTGTGCGGGGAGCGCCCGCTGACCACGGAGGTGTAGACAGGAGGCTGCCCCGGCGATGGAGTCCAGGACACCTTGCCGGAAGACGCTGGGGGCCTTCCATTACCTGCTCTGGGCCAACCTCCCGTAGCTGCCAGGAAAGAGGTCGCCCCGAAGGTGTTTGTGACAGCCTAGAGGTGGGGGCTAGTTTCTTGACGTAGAGGTCTAGGAGGATTGAAATCTGTAATTACAAGTAGCCCAGGGCGTGGGGTGGAATGGGGGAGAGGGATGGCCTAGGGGTAGTGTAGTAGAGGAGCAGATCTGGTTGCAGTTCTAGCAGCGTGTTTCCCCTCTCCTCCGACCCAATTCAGTAAGTGACTTCATCTGGAAGAGGGTGTCTTGCTGGTCTGGTATCTTCCTAGCAGAGGGGCTGATGCTGCTGTGGCTACTCGGTCAGGGGATCTGGGCTAGATAGAAATAGTGAGCTTACTGCTGGGAGGAGAGGGGTGGAAGCACCAGGAGAAGGCCTGCGGGGGCGGGGGCAGGGGTGGGGGTGGGGGTAGGGGGTCGGGAGGGGGATGGGGAGGAGATGGAGAAGGCTTTTCTGATATGGGGTGAGGGCTACCCCTACCTTGAGCAAGGATAGCTGGTGCTGCAGAGTGAGATTCTTTCAACGATGTATTGAGCACCTGCTATCCACCAGGGCCCATGGTGGGTGGTGAGGATGCAATACAGTGGTAAGATACACACCAACCTTGTCTTCATAGGTCTGCTCAACTGGCAGGGGATGGGTGCATTTATTTACTGAACCAGTGAGCACCTACTGTGTGCCTGATGCTGGAAATAAAATGCTATATGTATGTATATATATCTGTCCTTTACAACGTAATAGACCTCAGTGCCACAGATCTCATTTAATTCTCCCAGATACCTTCCAAGGGGCAGAATTTATTATTTCCATTCCACAATATGGAAGTAGGTTCAGAAAGGTGAAGTCACCTGGCCAAGGTCATATAGCTAGGAAGTAAGTGGTGGAGCAAGGGTTTGAGCCCAACAATCTGACTCAAGAATGCAGGTGCCTGGAAGCCCTGCAGAGGCTAATAGAGGGTTGTGAAAGAGAAGGGAGAGGAGCTGAGGGCTGTGCACTTGTTCACTGTGGGAAGTCTCTGAACAGCTCCACCCCACACAGCCCTGCTTGTTTACCCTACTCTCCCAGAGGTTGGCTTTGTCCTTTGTGGTTTTTGTTTGTTTGTTGTTGGTTTTTTTTGCCCCCGGTGGTAGTGGCTGTTGTGTAACAGTGCAGGGGTAAGAAGGGTGGGGGTCAGAGCTGACCTGGTGCTGCCTCTAAGTGTTTTAGCATTCATCAGAAAGTGGACCATGGTCCCTGAGGTGGACTGAAACTGAAGGTTCCAGGTGAACCCTCACTGCTATTCTCCTCCCTCCCCAGATGTTGACACAGATGGCGTTTTCCTTGGCCTTCCCTGGACTCTGCCCCCTCATACCTTATTGCACTCCTCAGGCCTGAGAAGAATGAATCACTGTGTATGCTGCAACTCTGCTTCTCAGAGTGCCTATGTCACTGGGCAGAGGTGGGGACACCCTTGCCAGGAAGGCAGCCAGTGCCTGGGCAAGGGCAGATAAGATGCTAATCACTTCAAAAGCTGCCGCCTGGGACTAATGACTCCCAATAACCAACCACCTGAGCAAAGTTCAGGGATGATGGGGGCCAGGGTTAGGGCTGCCTCACTGCTGGTCCTGGTTCCTCTGACTCCTGCATCCCTAGGATGGCATGCGCCTTATGGTCGGGGGCGGGGGAGGGGGGAGGCCTGGGAGGCTTGGGGTTCAGTCCTTGAACCCCAAGCCCTCTCTTTCTTTCCTTTCCAGGCAAGTTGGTAGCCCGGAGTGGGGAGAGGGAGGGAGGGAGGATATGCTACATAGCAAACACATTCTAGCCTCTGTGACCTTTGTTGATTTTTTCCCCCCCAGACTCTGGGCCTTGAAGAGACATTCTTATTTCCCACGTCCTGACTCTTCACTTACTACTTTTGTGACCTGAGACAGTTCCTTATTCTTTCTGAGCCTCAATTTTATCATCTGTACCATGGGGAGCTGGGTAATAATAAAGTACCCGTTTCAGAGGGTGGGGAGGATTAGATGAGATAATGTATGCAAATGGAGTAAAATCTCAGGGAGTGTTAACTGGGATGATAATGATAGTGATGACAGTGATGATGATGGTAAAGGCGACTGTAGAATTTGCACTTCTTTCTTAACTCCAGGGACCTAGTGTTTCCTGATATTGTATCCTGCTGTCTGGGGTGGGGTGTTCTCTAGGTCCCTCCCCCTAGAATCAGAATTCCTGGGGTGGGGGCATCATTTTAAAGCAACTTTCCAGGCACTTCATGGGCCTTAAAGCTTCTTCAACTCTGGCCCTCACTGTGTGTAGCCACACCCCCAAACCTATGTTCCCCTAAATTCCTACTTCCTAAAAACACCTTCCCTATACCTTCCTGGCCTTGGATATTCCTCTGTGGTTCTCTTTCCAACTCAGAAGTTGTATACCACAGTCCTTTCCTGACTCTTCTGCTGGATGGAGGTAAGGGATCTCCTAAGGGTGACAGTGTGAATGAGTGAGAGAGAAAAAAATGTGTGTGTGTGTGTGTGTGTGGCGGGGTAGGGGGTGGTTACTGTGTGCGCTGCCTGGGAGGCCTGAGGGGTTAGAACTGTGTATTGTGACCCTGAGAGGGGGAAGGAAGGGCTTAGCCTGTAGCTATTGGAGCCGCTACAAATCAAAATCACCCTGACTCTGTCAGACCACAGACCTCTGAATTTATAGCCAAAATGTGTGAGCATTCATTTTTTTCTTGGAAAAATATGCACCATGGTTTCATAAAATTCATAAAGGGGGCTATGATCTAAAAAGGTTAAGAATCCCTGTTCTGAAGAGAGTGAGTGGAGGCAAGCAGTCACTGCCTTATTTCTCCTCTGTGTCAGGTTTAGGGTAATTCCCATATAACCCCACCCTCCCAAGATTTATACATAGAATTGGTGTGCAAGAGGATTCCATCGTGTGTGTGTGTGTGTGTGTGTGTGTGCTGTTCCCCTCCCACCCCCATGGGGGGACAGAGGCTCAGGTACCCAGCAGGGAATGAGGTTCTTTGGTGAGAGTCCATTGGAGGTGTGATTGGGTTGGAGCTTGAAAGTAAGATGAGCCTTGTGCTAGGTCCATGCAGGTAGAGGTGAAGTGATGGGAGGATGGTTCCACATGGGGCATTAGATAAATTCCTCCTTCCTTTACAGAGATTAAGATTGCAACTCAGAACAAGCACACACACTAATCTGATAGCAGCCTCACACACTCTGAGCACCTTACTGTCAAGGAGTGACGGTGGGAGCTGGTGTGGTTCGGGAAGGCTATGTGAAGGAAGTCAAGTGTTTGACTTGCGTAGGGAATCTGCGTTCAGTGAACATTTGCTAAGAGTCTACTGTGGACCTAAACAGAGAGGGATTAAATTTGACCCCGGTAGGTTCTCAATGGAGTAGGGGAATTGGGTAAGGAAATAAGCAGTAACCACCCAGAAAGTGCCAGGATAAGCTAAGCCTGGGAGCTAAAATAGTCACTCTAGACCTCTTTCTGAGTGCCTGCTGTGTCCTGGGTCCAGAGCAGCATCCTGGGGATGTAGGAGCAAACAAAGCAGAGCCTCTCCTGCTGTATGTTCAGTCTTGTAGGAAAGACATTTGACAAATTACTTCCCAAACAGTCACATAACTACAATCGTAGGTGCTTTGAGGGAGCATTTGTTGACTATTTACTGTGTGCTAGGCATTTAGCCCACAAAATTTCAAACTCCCTAGACAATAGGTAGTATTATTCCCATTTTACAGATAAGGAAACTGAAGCTCTAAATCATTTCCTCCTGCTCAGCAGCCAGGAAATGGGCAGTTAGGGTTCACCTCAGACTGTCTGATGTCTTCTCCATCCCGCAGCCTTACATATGCCAAATGATTGCAACCAAACAAGATTGACAAATAGTCATTGAGGTAGAACTGTTGTGAGCTCCACGGTAGCAGACTGAGTCTATCTTGTATGCTGTTGTGTCCCAGTGCCTGGGACAGAGCCTGGCATGTTGTAAGTCACAATAAACATTTGTTGAATGCATGGTGCCCATCATTGTGAAGGTGCGTGGGTTGGGGCAGGGAGATGAATGTAGGGAGCCTGGCCCTACCTTCAAGGAAGTTTGGCGTTTGCCTGGAGAGCCAGAGAACGCAGGAATAGGTGCACAGTACTGGGGTTGAACAACACAGGCAGGAGGGCGGTGTCCCAGAGAGCTCAGTGATTCATTGCCACAGGATTGGAGCAGACAATAATGGCTGTGAGTTGGAGAAAGGAGAGGTCACCATGGGCTGGAGAGGCCTGGGAAGGCTTCTTGGGGGACCAGAGTCTGCCTTTGGTGGGATAGGTGCCATCTAAGACAAGGCTGGGTAGGATTTCCAGGTGGGAGGCAGGTACTTCAGGTGCAAATGGGGAGGTGGGAAAAGGAGAGTGATCCTGAGCCCTCTGCAGGAAATGCTTGACTTTGGATTTATTAATAGAGGGGCTGGCCATGGCCATGGCCTCCTATAGGAAGAAGGGGTCAAGACTGGGACAGTAGTAGGTCTGGCTGGGGTCTGCAAATGCATAGCCTCAAAGCTGGAAGAGATGGGCAGAAGTGAGTTATTGGGGTGATGGGAGTGCAGCTTGTGGTTGGCTGTGACACACAGGGGCTCCAATTGGAAGGACCTGGGGGCTGGCATGGAGAAGCATGTCTGAGATGTGACTGGACCAGTTAAGGGGGGAGGGGCAAGGTATGAAATAGGAGCCAGATGTCTGTGAGGAGAGGGGTCAAATAGGAGCCAGATGTTTACTGAGAGACTCTACATAGGGCCTGGAGGGGAGTGGTCAGGGAGAGGCTGGTGGTGTGGTTGGCAGTTCTGTCCCAGTTAGACCTGCTGGGCTCGCAGTTGCTAAAGACAGGCCAGGGCAGCTCCCGATGCCACTTCCAGGGCTAGTCAGCCCTGACCACAGTCCTGACCCCAGTGTGAACCTCTACACTGTTCTTCCACACACCTGTCAGTGTCTGGTCTGCCCGCAGTGGAAGTAGGGGAGGGAGGGAGGAGCTGGAGTCCTGGGAACTGGCCAGCACAGCATGTGTCTGAGGGGAGGTGGGTGGCTAACTCCTTCTCTTCAACTCCAGCTATCTCCAAGCCTTGATAGGTGCCTAGTTTCAGCTGGTCCCCCCATGCGGGTGAAAGCATTGGGCACTGTAGGTGATTATTGTCAGAAATGAGTCATTTGAGGGTGCCTCGGTGGCTCAGTCAGTTGAGCGTCCGACTCTGGCTCAGGTCATGATCTCACGGTTTGTGGGATCGAGCCTGGAGTGGGGCTTTGCTGACAGTGTGGAGCCTGCTTCGGATCCCGTGTCTCCCCCTCTGCCCCTACCCTGCTTGTGCGTGCGCTCTCTCTCTCTCTCTCTCTCTCTCTCTCAGTAAGTAAATAAACATTAAAAAAAAAAAAAAGGCATTTGACATGTCACATCTCATACACATATATTGACTGGCATTTCAGAAGGGAGAGAAATGAGAGGTCCTTCCCACTCTCTCCAGCCATCCTGAGTGGCCCTCCTTGTGGGGTCTGGGGAATGTAAGGGGTGCCTGTGTCTCTTTCCTACCACGTATGTGGGGGGTTGCTTAAGGCCTTCCCCTTCCACTTGCTGTCTCTCTGTATCTCAGTATCAGGGTAATTACCATGGGTGACTAAGGCAGGATGCTGGTGAGAAGGAGGTGTTGGGCAAAGCACAGAATAGAGAGCAGGGAGGAGGGAGTGTCAGGAGGGTCAGGGCGTTCCATGGGCGGGAGCTGCTCTAGACTTGTTCCAGGCCCCTTACCTGCTCCTCCAGCTGGGGCAGACACTGCTGCTACACCCAGCTGTGGGTGAAACTCAGGGTTCCGGGTTTTGGAATCAGGATTCTGGGCTGGAGCTGAGCTCTCCTCATGGGTTAGTGTATAGGTGGCAGAGGGAGAGTCAGGGGCTGGCTTGGGTTCCTCCTCCCAGCTGACCTCCTGTTTTGCCTCTTCCCCTTGCAGCCCTCCTGATTCTAGAGCCTGCCAGGATGGGGCCCCTGAGGCCTAGCCCAGGCCCTGGGCGGCAACAGTTGCTGCTGCCTCCCTTGTTACTGACACTGCTGCTTCTGCTGGCCGCATCCCCAGGCCATGCCACTCGGGTGGTGTACAAGGTGCTGGAGGAACAGCCACCCAACACCCTCATTGGGAGCCTCGCAGCTGACTACGGTTTTCCAGATATGGGCCACCTGTACAAACTAGAGGTAGGCGCCCCGTACCTGCGGGTGGATGGCAAGACGGGAGACATCTTCACCACGGAGACCTCTATCGACCGTGAGGGGCTCCGTGAATGCCAGAACCAGCTCCCCGGTGAGCCCTGCATCCTGGAGTTTGAGGTGTCTATTACAGACCTCGTGCAGAATGGCAGTCCCCGGCTGTTAGAGGGCCAGATAGAGGTACAGGACATCAATGACAACACGCCCAACTTCGCCTCGCCAGTCATCACGTTACCCATCCCTGAGAACACCAACATCGGCTCACTCTTCCCCATCCCGGTGGCTTCTGACCGTGATGCTGGCCCCAACGGTGTGGCGTCCTATGAGCTGCAGGCCGGGCCCGAGGCCCAGGAGCTATTTGGGCTTCAGGTGGCAGAGGACCAGGAGGGGAAGCAGCCACAGCTCATCGTGATGGGCAACCTGGACCGGGAGCGCTGGGATTCCTATGACCTCACCATCAAGGTGCAGGATGGTGGCAGCCCCCCACGTGCCAGCAGTGCCCTGCTTCGAGTCACTGTGCTTGACACCAATGACAACGCCCCCAAGTTCGAGCGGCCCTCCTATGAGGCTGAGCTGTCTGAGAACAGCCCCATAGGCCACTCAGTCATCCAGGTGAGAGGCCCCTCCATCTAACTGTTAGGGTTCCCACCTTTAGAAATGGGAGCCCAACCCAGCCTGATGAATGTTCCCTTTACTTAAGGGGAAACTGCCAGGGTACTGTGGTAAGAGCTTTTTTCCCCAGTCCCAGTGAGATCTTCCTATAAGCCCCACCCTACCCCAGAAGGTGATATGGTTTTCCTCTATCAAGCTACTTAGAGTGACATAGCATAGCACAGATAGCATATGAACAGCAATCCCCGCCCCCCCCCCATTCCCAAGGCCGACTCAAGTTGAAGAAACCTCTGAGAAGTGAAATCTCCTCCCAAGTCAAATGATATTCTCCTCCCCAGCTGAGTGAGCAAAGTTGGAACAAGAACAGTCTCTCCAGAGATGAGAATATCTTCCCAACCAATGGCCCTTTAGCCACATGAGATTCTCCTGAAACTAGAGGACAGAGCCTTACTTTGCCTCTCCCTGACAGTCGAATGAGATTATTTTAGCCAAGTGAGTCCTCACAGTTCTAGAAAACTGCAGTCAGATGTCTGTCTGTACACCAGCTTCCTTCCCTGGTACAGGGTGCTCTTGAGTATGGGATGCTTGGTACAATGGAGGGTCGGTTGCTTCTACTGAAGTTCTCAGCACCCTTCTCCATGGGAACTGCCCCAGGGGCTTGGGCAGCTTGGTGGAGCCAGGGCCTGGGAGGGAGCAAAGAAAGCGTCCCTGCAGACAGGTGGGCGTATCTCCTGCTGTCATCTCAGCCCTGGCCTCCTGCCAGCCCCAGCTCCTTTCTCCTTCCCCCTGGGCTGAAGCTGTCTGTCTTTGAAGTGAGGGAGCTGAGGAGGGCACGGCCTGCCCTGTATACCGTTACCATCCTGGGAAACCCTTCATTCTGTATCCTTAAACTGAAGCAGGGCATGGGAAGGAGTTTCAGTCCTGTCCTTTTTTTTTAAGAGGCTGGTGGACTTGAACGTGTAGAAGAGAGACTGAGGAAGAATAGGGAGACAGACCATCAGAGATGGTGAATAATAACAGCCTGGGTGCCAGGCAGTGTTCTGAACACACTATGTGTATTATGTCATTTAATCCTTACAGTACAAGGTAAGCATTATCCCCATTTCACTGATGGGAAACTGAGCCCATAGAGATTTGGAAACTCACCTGATCTCACCCAGCTGATGTGTTCACATCCCACCCTGACCCCATCCAGCAGTCTGGCTTCAAAGCCTATGCATGTAACAGCTTACATCCCCTTCCAGTGGGCTGAAGCAAGAGAGCAGGGCAGAGATGGGGCTAGAGGAAAGGCAGAAAAGAGAGGATGAGAAAGGACAAGCAATGGGAAAGAGGCAGGAAGAACTCAAAAAGGCGGGGAGGGAAACAGAGACAGGAGTGAAGAGTCATCCAGACAAAGGGAGGTAAGATGGCAAGACAGGTAGATAAGAAGCAGGGTGACCAGTCTGGAGACAGGGAGAGGTGGAAATCATAATGAAAAGGTAGGGGACAGATAGACCGGGGACAGGGCGGTTGGTGAGAAGAAACAGGTTGGCTCTCACAGGGGTTAGCAAATACCAGGTTGCTAGGAAGCCCTGCCCAGGTGTCTCCACTGTTGAAAGAGTCCTGGTTCCCAGCCAGAAGGAGAGGAGACTAGCCGTGGTTTGAGGGCGCACCAGATGTGGTGTCCAGCACTGTGTTAGCACAAATTTTCTGAGATGGACAGGTGGATGGACAAAAAGAGGGATGAATGTTGGGGTGTGTGGGTGGCTCAGTCGGTTAAGCATTTGACTCTTGAATTCGGCTCAGGTCATAATCCCAGAGTCATGGGGTTGAGCCCTGCGTTGGACTTTGCATTGGGCATGGAGCCTGCTTACATCTCTCTCTCTCTCTCTCTCTCTCTCTTTCTCTGTCTCTCTCTCTTTTTCTCTTTTTCTCTTTCTCTTCTTCTGTCCCTCTCCCCAGTTCATGCTCTCTCTCTCTCTAAAACAAAGCAAAACAAAACAAAAAAGAGGGATAGATGCTATTTAGGGAGCTCTTGCCACGTGCCAGGCAGTGTTAGGCAGTTTTAGAAGTATTATCTCACTTAATTCTCACCACAACCCCGTTAGATAGGTTCTATTATCATCCCCATTTTATACATTTTGTAGACTGAGGCTTGAGGAGGTTGAGTAATTGGCCCAAGGTCACATAGTTAGTTGGAAAGTGATGGAGCTGGGATTTGAACCCAGGACTCGTCCACTGTGCTTCTCAGAGACTCTGCCAAGTTATACCTGTCTGTTTATCCCCAGCACCCACATCCTACTGCCATCACGTTCTGTCTGGCTGTGACGTAATTCGAACCCTCTGTTTCTCCCTGACCAGTGGTACCTCATAGCCATTCCCACCAGGTTCCTGTTGCCCCATCACCACCCATATTTGTAGAGTTGGGCCGAGTATGCGTCGGCATTGGCGTGGGAGGGCGTGCCCACTGCAAAGGGACAGACAGTTCATTGTTTGGTGCTGGGATCCCAGCCCACTGCCAGCAAGCTCTGTGGCCTGCACCAACCCCTCCCTGTTGGCCGCAGCTCGGCCGCCCAGATTCCTCAAGTTGGTGCCTAGCCAGGGCCAGGCAGGAGGGAAGAAGCTGCTGAAACAGGTTTCCCCGGTTTGAGAGAGCAGTGGCCTGGCAGGCTCATTCTGACCCATATCCCCACCTGGCTCCTTTCAAAAGAAATCCCCTCACCTGTGGCCTCCAGGTGGGGCATGTGGGGCTCTACTCGTGTGCAAATACACAAGCGCACAAACACGTACCTTCTCACACAATAATAACCCCAGTCTTGTAACACATGTGTGTGCATGCGTGCATGTTATACACATATGTCATGCATACATGCCATTTCCACTACTCACACCTTTCCAGCTCTCCAGAAGGGTTGAAGGCCAGTTTAACTGGCTGGAAGGGCTGCCCCAGTTGCTAGCTGGATCCTCATCCCCATATTTGGGCACACTGGAACAGGAATGGTAAGCAGAGTTGAATTATGCCCCATCCCATCTCTACTGGTTGCTTGTAGCGCTGCTGAGGATTTGCAGGCTGCATCTGTGCTCCTCCGGGAAATAGATCAGTGATACCTGCCACAATGTCAGGGTTGGGAAAAGGGCAGTATAGGTGCTGCTTTTGGAAATGGTGCCATGTTCAATGAATTATATCTGCTGTGCTCATTGGAAAGGCAGCACACGTGTCCCTGACTTTGCTATCCCCAGACTAACTCATTCCTGTTTTCCTCTTCTCCCCCGCCCTGAAGGTGAAAGCCAATGACTCGGACCAAGGTGCCAATGCGGAGATTGACTACACCTTCCACCAGGCGCCTGAAGTGGTGAGGCGTCTTCTGCGACTGGACAGGAACACTGGACTTATTACTGTGCAGGGCCCCGTGGATCGTGAAGATGTAAGTACCCTGCGCTTCTCAGTGCTCGCCAAGGACCGAGGCACCAACCCCAAGAGTGCCCGCGCCCAAGTGGTGGTGACTGTGAAGGACATGAACGACAATGCCCCCACCATTGAGATCCGGGGCATAGGGTTGGTGACCCATCAAGACGGGATGGCGAACATCTCAGAAGATGTGGCAGAAGAGACAGCTGTAGCCCTGGTACAGGTATCTGACCGAGATGAGGGAGAGAATGCAGCTGTCACCTGTGTGGTGGCAGGTGATGTGCCCTTCCAGCTACGCCAGGCCAGTGAGACGGGAAGTGACAGCAAAAAGAAGTACTTCCTGCAGACCACCACCCCACTCGACTACGAGAAGGTCAAAGACTACACCATAGAGATTGTGGCCGTGGACTCTGGCAACCCCCCACTCTCTAGTACCAACTCCCTCAAGGTACAGGTGGTAGATGTCAATGACAATGCACCTGTCTTCACCCAGAGCGTCACTGAGGTTGCCTTCCCAGAAAACAACAAGCCAGGTGAAGTGGTCACCGAAGTCACTGCCAGTGATGCTGACTCGGGCTCTAATGCTGAGCTGGTTTACTCTCTGGAGCCTGAGCCAGCCGCCAAGGGCCTCTTCACCATCTCACCTGAGACTGGAGAGATCCGGGTGAAGACATCCCTTGATCGGGAACAGCGGGACAGTTATGAGTTAAAGGTGGTGGCAGCCGACCGGGGCAGCCCCAGCCTGCAGGGCACAGCCACCGTCCTCGTCAACGTGCTGGACTGCAATGACAATGACCCCAAGTTTATGCTGAGCGGCTACAACTTCTCAGTGATGGAGAACATGCCGGCACTGAGTCCAGTGGGCATGGTGACCGTCATTGATGGGGATAAGGGGGAGAATGCCCGGGTACAGCTCACGGTGGAGCAGGACAATGGTGACTTTGTTATTCAGAATGGCACGGGCACGATTCTCTCCAGCCTGAGCTTTGATCGGGAACAGCAAAGCACCTATACATTCCAGCTGAAGGCGGTGGATGGCGGTGTCCCACCTCGCTCAGCTTATGTTGGTGTCACCATCAACGTGCTGGATGAGAATGACAATGCGCCTTTTATCACCGCCCCTTCCAACACCTCCCACCGGCTGTTGACCCCCCAGACCCGTCTTGGTGAGACGGTCAGCCAGGTGACAGCTGAGGACATTGACTCTGGTGTCAATGCTGAGTTGACCTATAGCATTGCTGGTGGCAACCCTTACGGACTCTTCCAGATCGGGTCACATTCAGGTGCCATCACCCTCGAGAAGGAGATTGAGCGGCGCCACCACGGGCTGCACCGCCTAGTGGTAAAGGTCAGTGACCGTGGCAAGCCCCCACGCTATGGCACAGCCTTGGTCCACCTTTATGTCAACGAGACCCTGGCCAACCGCACCCTGCTAGAGACCCTGCTGGGCCACAGCCTGGACACGCCACTGGACATCGACATTGCTGGGGATCCGGAATACGAGCGCTCCAAGCAGCGTGGCAACATCCTCTTTGGTGTGGTGGCTGGTGTTGTGGCTGTGGCCTTGCTCATTGCCCTGGCAGTGCTCGTGCGCTACTGCCGGCAGCGGGAAGCCAAGAGTGGCTACCAGGCCGGTAAGAAGGAGACCAAGGACCTGTATGCCCCCAAGCCCAGCAGCAAAGCCTCCAAGGGAAACAAAAGCAAGGGCAAGAAGAGCAAGTCCCCAAAGCCTGTGAAGCCAGTGGAAGATGAGGACGAGGCCGGGCTGCAGAAATCGCTCAAGTTCAACCTGATGAGCGACGCCCCTGGGGACAGCCCCCGCATCCACCTGCCCCTCAACTATCCACCCGGCAGCCCTGACCTGGGCCGCCACTACCGCTCTAACTCCCCACTGCCTTCCATCCAGCTGCAGCCCCAGTCACCCTCGGCCTCCAAGAAGCACCAGGTGGTGCAGGACCTGCCACCCGCAAACACATTCGTGGGCACAGGTGACACCACGTCCACAGGCTCTGAGCAGTACTCCGACTACAGCTACCGCACCAACCCCCCCAAATACCCCAGCAAGCAGGTAGGCCAGCCCTTGCGGCTCAGCACACCCCGGCCCCTACCCCACCCCTATCATGGGGCCATCTGGACTGAGGTATGGGAGTGACAGAGCACGTGTATCAGACCTGTGTGCTCACCAGCCCGTAGGGGCCGACCCGAGCCAGTGGTGGGAGGTGGGACCAAAGATCTGGGGATGCTGGGGCCTTGGTGATGACACTGCTGCCTCACCCAGGCTCAGAGCATTAGGCTTAGTGAAAATTGAGGGAGGGTGTGCTCTGTGGCATCCTCCTCCTTGCCCCCGCCCCACTGGGAGAAGCCTGTGATTGTCAAATCCCGAGACACTAGACCCCACCTGGTCTAGCTGGTGGGGGCTGATGGGTGGGTGAGCAGAGGGGTTTGAAGGCAGAAGATGTGGGAGGGAAGTGAAGAAGTCTATTCCAAACCTGGGTCTCTAGCTGAGACCCGCCATTGGTGCTTCTCTAGAAGGGAAACAGGGAGACCAGGGGTCCTAGGGGGTAACTGATAGGGACTCTGTCAGGGAAGGGGGCCTCCCTATTTGTGCCTCTAGGTGTGCTGTGTCAGCCTCCTCCCCACCCCAGGCTCCTGTGGCTGGGCCCCAGCTCCCCTTCCCCAGACCCAAACGCTTACCTCTGACAATAAAGTTCTCTATTTTTGGAGTTTTGGTTTCTTATTTTCCGGGAACTGAGAGAAGGAGTGAGAGAGACTGGAAACAGCCCTTTGTCCTTAGGTTTCCACCCAATTTCCCCATCCCTTCTCTTTGCCCCTTCCCACTTCCTAGACCTGTGTTCAACCCCAACCCTATCTTAATTTACTGTCATCCCATCTACCCCCACATCTGACAGCATGTCCCCTCATCCCATGTTTGTGAAGCCTTCTCCCTAGGAATGACGTCCTGCGCCAAGAAAGGGCAGCTGCACCCAAGTGAAATGCACCCAAGTCCCGCCCTTTGTCCATTGGCTGAGACTTGACCCTTCCAATCTGCTCACATTGAGCAGTCCCTGACAGAGCTCAGGCCAGAGCACTGGGTGAGGGAGGAGTACAGCGAGGAGTACTGCCCGCCCTTGATTATACCAGCCACCTTCCCCCAGGGCACGGTCTCCCCAAGTCCCTTTCCCAGCTGTTTCATCCCAACAGCACTCAATTCCCAACAATTACTGGGCCCTGCCCTGCATGTCCTCACCATGATCGCCAGCCTGGGCTACTGGGAGGGAGGGCCCAGGGAGACGGGAGGGAATCCTGAGGTTCTTTGGATTTGGCCTGCTCTGTATCCCCACTCTTAGGGTGCTCCCTTCTGACTGAGGCTGAGGTATCCTAATCCTACCCCTCCTCACTTCCCTTCCTTCAGCTCCTTGCTCTGGCCACCCCTGGGCTGCTGGCTCTCACTCACTCTCTCTCTCTCCATCTCTCACTTCTTGCTCTCCTGGGTCTGCCCTGTCTCTGGCTGTGCCCAAGGGGGACAGGGGCTAAAGCCTGGGTGAGGGGCCTCAGGTCCTGGGAGAGTCTCTGAGGCCAGAGGCAATGCATCTCCATGGTGACTGAAGAGCCTTGAGACACTCCCAGGAGGTTCAAGGCGCCAGCTCTCTACCCTGATTCTGTCCACAAACTCCCCAATGCCCTGGGCATACCCCCAAAGTAAAAACTCCTGGGGGCTTTGGAGGAGTGGGGCATGGGCAAGGGAAATCTAGTTTCATGTCATTTCACCTGGACAAATAAGCATCTCTAGGGGGACCTCCAGCAACTCCTGACCAACCATTCTTTCTCTTTTGTTCCCATGCTTGCTGCTGCCAGGTGCATCTTTCTCTTTTCCCTTTAGCTTCTTCATCTCTTTTTATTTCCCAACAGCTGAGGGATTATCCCTTACTCAGCTGCAACCCGACACATCCACGGAGCCACATTGCACATCTCCCAACATTCAGACACAACCAAACCACGACACCATGGTTGCCACTGAAACACCTAGGCCAAGTTTCTACTGTGTGGTCAGCGTAGTACTAGACCCTGAAGGGAAATGGTCGTATTTGTATGACACATGCAAGGCGAAAGATGAGGCAACTGAGAATCTTAAATGTCGAATGGGACATAGTAAAGCTTTTTCCAAGTTGTCCCACTATAACTTCTGCAACTAGATGCTTCCATTTTTTTTTTTTTTTTTTTTTTTTTTTACCTTATACTAGGTACAATGTACCCTACTCAGCACTTTATGTGAATTAGCTCATTCAGTGCTCATAAGTCTTTGTGACAGAAGTCATTATGATGCTCATTTTCCAGAAGTGAAAACTAGTTAGCGATGGAGTCAGAATTCAAACGGAAAGCATCAGGAAATCTGACTTCCAGAGTCTGCTCTTTTCCATAATACTATACAGAAGGGGTCCTGTGATTAAGTTAGTTTGGGGAGTAAGAGATGCACTATCACATTAACCTATTAAAGGCTCTGCCAGTCCTGTGAGAATTGGGGGGAGCCTGTTACACTTTGTATAACTCTGGGTTTTCCCAATTTATTTGACCATAGTGCCCCCTCCCTTTCTTTGAGGAATGCAGTATAACACCTGCAGAGGACACGGGAGTGGGCTCCTGGAAGGAAAATGTCAAACTTGAGCCAGCTCTTCAGTGATGAGCAGGAGCTGGGCAGGAGGTTCAACCAAGGGAACCAGCTCCTGAGGCAGCAGTGAGCATGGCCAACTTGGGGACAGGGAGAGGGCAGGAAGCGGAATATTCTGGTTGGCATGAAGGCTATAGAAGAGAGCTGAGAGAGGAGACGGGAAGAACTGTAGGTTGTAGGTGACACACATGCCATGCCAGAAGTTCCTGAACAGGAAATGGGAGCCCCTGAAAAAGCTCATGAGTTTTGGATGAACTGAGTTTTAGAAAGTCCAGTGGAACGTATGGTGGATATAAAGGGGGTAAAGGTGAAGGTACAAGACTGAAACTCTAAGGTCTGGACTAAAATGGTGGCAGTGGGGACAATGAATGGATGGATTTGGCTAAACTTAGGGAGAAACAACCTGTAGGGCTCACAGGATGACTGGATATAGGGTAAGGAGGGGGAATGAGCATGACACCTACCAGGATTCCCAGGTAAACATTTTCCTTCTGTGTCTGGGTGATGGGACAGTGATGAAGTTGCTGCCCATGCATAAGCTGGTGAAAGAAAAAGAAGAATTTGGTTTCAGATTTGTTGAATCTGAAGGACCAGTAGGGATGGCCGATAGGAAATACCAAGCAAATGTCTAGAACTTCAGGACTGGAGTCAGAGAGATTTGGGATCTAGGCTTTTTAAGATTTGATAGTGATAAGAATTACAGGGAATGTTTAGGGTTGAGTATGATCCAACCCTTCATTTTACAGAAAAAAAAATCCAAGGCAAAAGAGACCAAGGGGCATGCCTAGTAGGCAAGTCTGAAGCTTTGGATTACCAAAGGTAGTAGGTTCTTTGGGGAGGGAGAGTTACTGGCTGTCATCTTGGAGAAAACTGGAAGGAGAAGCACCTGACAACCAGACGTCCCTGTGCCTCACAGACCCCCTCCTGGAGACCGTTCACTTCAACACCAGGTGGACGATGCTCCTTTACAACATCCCAGCCCCAAATGTCCAGGTCCATTTTGGGGACCTCGTCTGTCATCACCCAGACCATTCGGTGTTTTGGATAACAACATGGATCCCAAGAAGGGTTGCCTATTCCTGAAGACGAGGTGGGAGCCAAGATGGGAAGGTAGTTCTGGGCTGCCTTCCCAAAAGCTTCAGGGCTCCTTGTCCTGACAGCTCCCGTCACCACCCCAACTGCCTTGGATGGGATGGAGATTGTTATGGTATCAGGAGGGTGGGTCTGCAAACTCAGGACCCCTTCCTCTGGCCTTGTTGATAAGTTCCTATTGAGGGCTTTAGAATAAAGACAAAGCACCAGTGAAGTCTTAGAGGATTGGAGGGAGCCTGGAGACTCAGCCCCAGGAGAGCCCTGGCCTGAGCTACTCCCACCCCTAGCTTCCAGGGACCCTGGGTCTACACCCTCCACAACTCCTGATTTCTGGTTGGCAGGAAAATCAGTGGCAGTCCCAGGTGGGTGTTTGGGTGACTGGTTGGTGGCGCCAAGTGCCAAGCTGAGGTTGCCAGGTTCCTGGGATGATCATTAACCTGTGGCAGGCAGACAGGGCTGCCTGGAGCCGCCTGTCACGGTTCCACTGCCCCAATCCCCACCCCCAGTCCAAGCTTCTAAGTCCTGGCTCCACCAAGCCACAACCCCTCCCAGAAGCTCCTTCCCATTTCCTAGAAGGAGAATCCATTTGAGGCCCACCTTCCTAATTCCTGATGGATGCCAGGCCCATCCCCCTATGCCCAGGTCCTCCTGGGCCCTACCCTCTACAGTTAATACTGTTTTCCTGATCTGGAGGATGGAGGAGTTTCCATTGTTCTGCTTCCCCACCCCCAAGGGGCCCTGGTTTGTTATCAGGCTCCCCTTCCTTCTTCCCTCCCACCTTTTTCCATTCCCAGGCCTCTGTAGAGGGGGATGAAGTGGGGACAAGGGGCTTGAGTGGGAGGGGACGCAGGAGGGAGTCCTGAGGCAGCCGGCAGCAACACACAGCAGGGGTAGGAACAGAGGATCAGAAAGACCTTGTGATCTCATTTGGATGGAGGCAATGGGAAGTTACAGAGCAATGAGACAGGTGAGGAGCTGAAGTTCGGGGATGCTATTTGGAAATTAGGGAACCGTTCTGGTATCGGTGAGCTGTTTTGGAACAAAGAGTTCATACTGCTTTAAGGAAGCTGTTCTAGAAATCGGAAGCTTGCTCGTGTTTGAAGGCTATGCTGGAATTAGGGGAGTTGGCTGGTATTGTGCTATTCTGGTGTGGGCTGTTCTAGAATTAACGGCTGTGGCAATACTGGGAAGCTGTGCGGCGGTGAGTGGTTGTACTGGATTAGGCTTACTGTGGTAGCCTGGGGGCTCTAACAACACCGGGGCCTATGCTGTGTTGGGACTTTCAGTGTGGCCTTGGCTATCCTGGGAGCTGTCCTAGAATTAAGGGGAAGTCCTCGACTGGCATCTGTGCTTTCTTGGGGGCTCTGCTGTTGCTAGGGGGGCTGGGCCTCCTCGGGGGTGCTGCTGAGGCCTGGGGGACCGGAAGCTCTGGGGCAGGCCTGGCAGGGGCTGGGGTTCGCGGTGGTGGTGGGCCCCCTGGGACCAGCCCACCTGCCAGCAGTGACACTCCTTGTCCCCGCAGTTACCTCACCGCCGCGTCACATTCTCCGCCACCAGTCAGGCCCAGGAGCTGCAGGACCCGTCCCAGCACAGTTACTATGACAGTGGCCTGGAGGAGTCTGAGACGCCGTCCAGCAAGTCATCCTCGGGACCCCGGCTCGGCCCCCTGGCCCTGCCCGAGGACCACTACGAGCGCACGACGCCTGATGGCAGCATAGGAGAGATGGAGCACCCTGAGAACGGTGAGGAGCATCAGCACGGTCAGGGCGCCCCGGGAGTGGGCAGGAGCTGAGAATGGTGACCGGAGTTTAAACATACCTTCCATTTATTGAGCTCCTGCTGTGTGTTCAGCAGTAATCGCGGTGCTGAGTGCTTTCAGCCATATACCCATTTAATCTTCACAACTTCTCTCTGATCTGAGAACTTTATTGTTCTCTTTATAATGGAGTAACGGTGAGCTCAGAGAGGTTGAGTCACTTGCCCAAAGTAATACGCAGGAAGTGACAGAGCTGGGAGGGATTCAAACCCAGGCTTCTCTGACTCCTAAGACCTTGCATTCAGTACCACATTATACTGACTTCCTGGGAACAGGGACCAGGAGAATGGTGGCCAGAGGGCTCAGGTGGTGGTGAGGGAATCTTGGGGGAACCTCGAGGTAATGAGGGTCCTTTAATGGGGTCAGAGGGCCTTGAGAAAGGGGAGGGGACCCTGGATGCTGTGAGGAGCTCAGAAAAGGGTATGATGATCCCCTGAAAGGAGGAGCCGGAGAGGGTTTAGCTGAGGAAAGGGAGCGGGGAGGTGTGGGGAGGGGAAAGGCTTGTCTGGGAGGGGTTTGAAGGGTGATGGCAGAAGGGATGTCTGGGCCAGAGCAGAGGTCAGTGTGGGGATAGATGGTGGGTGTGCTGTCAAAATGTGTGTGTCTGTGTAGTGCGTATTGCATGTGTGTGTGTCTGAAGGCATCCATGGTAGCTTGTGGAGGGGGAGACTGAATAAGCTTCCCCTTAGGACTGAAAGACTCTCCACCTTATAGCTGTCTTTGGGTCTTGCCCCCTCCCTCCGTCCAAACTACCCCCCCAAAAACGATGAAAAGTTCCACTCCCCAGCTCTCAGGAACAGGGCACTTGTCTGACATCCCAGGCCCTAGGTCTCAGAGGGCCCTCCACCCCACTATGCCCCTCCATGCTCTATCTCATGCCCATCTCGTCCTTTTTGTGCCCGCGCAGAGCCGGCTGGCCGGAGCAGGCCCTGAGGCGGAGTGCCAGGTATGTGGGAGCTGCTCTGGGGTCTGGGGTCTGTGGGACTTGGCCCAGCACCCAGCTCCGCCCACCCAGTGCCCATGCTCTGCTCTGTGCCAAGTTGGGTCTCCCAACTCTGCCCTGAGCTGAAGAGCCTTGGTGCTTTGAGGGTTAACAACAGAGCTGTCCCCTCCTCACCTTGCACTGGCAGGAGGCCAAGCCAGGGTGGGTGGTACCAAGGGAGCCCCTGCCCCAGGCAGTGCTGCTCAGTCATGTCCCTGAGGGAGGGTCACCGCCTGGTACCGTCCCTGAGCAAGGGCGGGACAGGGGCAACTGTGACAGGAAGTGCTCATGGCCCAGCCGTTCCCATGGAGACCCCCGCTGCCCAGCAACCACACCGGCTACTGATGTCAGGCGGCCAACTCCTGTTCCCGTGGGTGTTCTGGGCAGGGAGCCGGAGCTAGGCCAGGGGTGGTGGTTGGCATAGGGGGCTGGAGTGAGGTGGGGAGGGGTTGCATGAGTGTGCTTGTGAGTACCTGGGTGTGTGCTTCTATGTGAACTGTCCACACAGAAGCTCATCCCCTCTCCCTGGCTTTAAAGAAGGGCCTTGCTATGCTGGGGAAGGGTGGGGTTCCAGGACAGCTGGGAGCATGGTGAGTTTGAGGGGGTTCAGAAGGTATGTGCCCACCTTCGTCTGAGGATTCAGATGCCCAGTGTAGATCTGTGTGTCCATGCCTATCTGAGGATAGGGGTGTGTGTGTGTGTGTGTGTGTGTGTGTGTGTGTGTGTGT